GATAATTCATGGGTCTATTGTGATTTAACATAACAAAATCAAAATGATGACTGCACCGTGGCTTAGTGGTTATCACTGTTGCGTCACAGCAAGAAGGTCGCTTGTTCTATTCTTGGCTGGGTCAGTTGGCATTTCTGTATGGAGTTTGGATGTTCTCCCTTTGTTGGCGTGGCTTTCCTTCGGGTGCTCCGGTTTCCTCCACAGTCCGAAGACATGCGCTAAGGGTGAATTATATAAGCTAAATTGGCCTTAGTGTTTGGATGTGTTTGGGTGTTTCCCAGTACTGGGTTGCAGCTGGAAGGGAAGCCGAAGGAAAATTAATGATGAAATCAAAATATTAACTTTTTGCATTAATTTTTACTAATAATGCTTTTTCTTCATAAATTGAAAGATCTGTTGGAATTTTGTTATGGTTTTGTAGCATGCCTTTTTTCACATCTTCCGCTTATTGATTGTTTTATCTTGCATTATTCTTATTAATAAACCACTTCGGATAAGAGCGCAATTTGTTTCAAATTCTGACACATTTGGCATTGGCTACTGACCTAATTCTATTCCATTAAGGGACATTTTCATATAAACAACTGAAACTGTATATTTGACTTGAAGGCAAATGGCTGTTGTTCTCTGTATTGTTTTTCTTTGTAACCTTCCTTTTTCATATGAAAATGGCAATGGATTATTTCAAATTATTGTTATTTTTTTAAAAGGTCATACTTGACAAAGGTCAATCAAATGGTCTAATGAGATTAAAATGTAAGGTATAAATAGGAATGTGTCTTTTTTACTTTTTTGTCTTCCTAATACCAGATGTAAACAGGTCCTAAGTTTATTGGTTCAAGGGTGTAAGGTGATTAAGTGCTTGCAAAAGAGTCATGTCTTCACAAGTTCTTTAAAGTTTTGGAGACACTGTACCTTATCATAAAGTCAATGACTGCTGTTGATTGAATTAAAGCATATACAGTGCACCCAAAAAGTATTCATAGCGCTTCACTTTTTCAAAAATTTTCACGTTACAGCCTTATTCCAAAATGTATTCACATTTATTTCCTCAATATTCGTCACACAATACCCCATAATAAAAAAGATTTTTTGAAATTGTTGCAAATTTATAAAAAAAAAAAAAAAAAACTGAAAAATCACATGCACATCAGTATTCACAGCCTTTGCCGTAAAGCTCTAAATTGAGCTCAGGTACACTGTTTTCCCTGATCATTCTTGAGATGTTTCAGCAGCTTAATTGGAGTTCACCTGTGGTAAATTGAGTTGATTGGAGATGATTTGAAAAGGCATACACCTGCCTATATAAGGTCCCAGGGTTGACAGTGCTTGTCAAAGCACAAACCAAGCATGAAGATAAATTAATTGTTTGTAGTCCTCCGAGAAAGGATTGTCTCGAGGCACAAGGCTGGGGAAGGTTACAGAAAAAATTCTGCTGCTCTAAAAGTTCCAATGAGCACAGTGGCTCCCATCATCCGTAAGTGGAAGATGTTTGGAACCACCAGCGTTCTTCCTAGAGCTGGCCGGCCATCTAAGCTGAGTGATCAGTGGGGGGAGAAGGGCCATAGTCAGAGAGGTGATCAATAACCTGATGGTCACTCTGTCTGTGAGCCTAGAGCCTAAACCTAAATCCTATTTAACATCTCTAGAGAGATCTGAAAATGGCTGTACACCGTCGCTACCCATCCAACCTGATGGAGTTTGAGAGGTACTGCTAAGAGAAATGGGCAAAATTCCCAAAGATAGCTGTGCCAATCATATTTAAAAAGACTTGAGGCTGTAATTGCTGTCAAAGGTGCATCAACAAAGTATTGAGCAAAGGCTGTGAATACTGATGTACATGTGATTTTTTTTTATTTTTTTTTTTTAGGGTTTTTATTTTTAATAAATTTTCAACAATTTCAAAAAATCTTTTTACATTGTCATTATGGGGTATTGTGTGAAGAATTTTGAGGAAATAAATGAATTTAATCCATTTTGGAATATGGCTGTAACAAAAATATGGAAAAAGTGAAGCGCTATGAACACTTTCTGCATGCACTTCATTTGTAGAAATTAAGTGAAATGGTAGAGGTGCTGTTCCTGTGGAAGATTATAATATTTTATCTTAAATAAATCCAAGCTTTGGACTTTTTTTTAGATGAGGATGACAATTAAATTCCTAAGACCCTCAGGTATTCACTGAAAATGCAGTTTTATCCCACAAATGGAAACAGGCCTCTGCAGAATCACAATTTGATAGATGGTGCAGGAAGGCTGGGACAACAGAAATGCTGTCCTCCCATGCCGAAGTATGCTACTTTGACTTCATCAGAATTCAAACCTCAGCTAAAATGGCATGTGGGGGGGTGGCATGTGGATGAGTGAACAGAACTGGAATGTCCTATGAGAAGTTTGAGTAAGACTGGTCTTCTCTTTACTGGATTTTCCCTGTGGCAGAGAGGTCATTGAGATGCCAATGCAGACAGGACGGTCTGATCTCTCATGGCAACTTGGACTGTTTCTCTTGCATGTGGCTCTTTGAAGTGCATCGGAGTGATTTTTGAAGTGCATTGAGGGTGTGTGTAATTGATTGGACTGGCAGGCTCTTTGCAGATTATTCCACATGGCAAGGCTGCTCTTAGCACACAACAGCAGACTAAATATATACCCTTCAATGCCCATCTTTGAAATAAACTCTAATACACCAATTCACAAGATATGCAATGTGCTGCTAATGCTTGCTTGCCCTTTTTTTTAGAAGTTTTGTTTTATGTTATGGCCTTTAAAGTTACAGTATGTAATATTAAAACATTAATCATGTTGGTTACATGGATAATTTAAAGAGCTAGAAACCTAAAAGTTGTTTGTTCGATCCCTGCAAAGAGCGCTATCATTATTGTGCAATTTGTTTTTCAACTTGTGTGAAGTTAAGTTTGCATTGTAGATGAACTGCCACAGACTAAACGGCAAAAACATTACATTTTAAACATTTAATTTCGAACCTTCCGGTGGAGAGAGTGTTTGCTGGTGCTTGCTGGTGTTGAGGTTATGCTACAAAAAAAATATTAAAAACGAAAGAACGATAAAACACCAAAAAAGATTACCACACAGATGGAGGAGGTTGATGATATCAAGCGATCGCTGGATATGTTGACAGAAGAAGTCTCTGTTGTTAGACAACAGCAGAAGACGATCATGGGCCTGGTGGAGGAAGTGAAAGCCTTGAAACTACAAAACATTGTAAAAGAAAAGAAAATACATACATTTTTGTATGTAATGACTCAGGTAATGAAATGAGAACTATTAGTTTTATGAATATTCAGTATTCACAAGTTAAGTTAATCTTGACTGACATGACATTAACAAATAATAATGTTATAAAAGAGCAGAGAGTTATATGAAAGCAATTGATGCATGTCCAAAGGCATTTGCAATCTGTTGGAAAGAATGATAGACTGCTACTATGATGTGCACAAATGACAATTTGTTTTGAGAAATGCATTAACTGTTGTGCAAATGTAAATAGTGTTGTGAGAAATGTATCAAAGCAACTGAGAAAAACTGTAATATGGAAAACAAACTGTGGCTGGCTTTGTTGCGTCTCCTGTTTTCAAAAGAAGAGTCCTACATTAAGTACATAGTAAATGTGATATAAACTTTAATGCAGTTAAAAATAAGGGAGGGCTTTATTAAAAGGCTTCCTTCTAGTGGAATTTCTGAATAACTAAAGTAAAAAAATGAACATACTTTAACCCTTTAATGCGTACGATAACACCAATGTGATCAGTAAATTTTTTTTAAAAGGCTGAACCTTTCATTTTATTTTCAATTTTCTAATGTTAGTTATGTAATCTCCTCCACATATTTGTAACGGTTGTTGGGGGCGTATTTCGTATTTTTATATCCCAATGTTGACAGGTATGGTTTAATCACTTGCTTTTATGACACACAAAGCCTACTCTAACGCACAGTAAGCAGATTTAATTTCTAATTTAAATATGTAAATCCAATTCCTTTATTTAAAATATAAGTTAATGTTTAAATTTCAAAGATATACAAATAATTTATATATACATTCAACATATATTTCAAAATGTATCAAAAAGAGTTCATATATGAATATTATGACATATAGCTTATATTTATGAGGTCCAAGGAACATTACCAGGTTTTGATGGATAGGCTACTTTTTGTTAATGCTTTTAAGTACAGCTGTTTACTTTTTAAGAACAGTGCCACATATTGATTTAAACTGTGACTCTTTATTTCTTTTTAATTGTAAGCACAGTACAATCTTAATGTTCAAACTATTTATAATGTTTAAAGTGGCTGACAATAATAAATATTCATAATAAGAAGACTTAATCTGCCACGCTTTTGCACTGTGCAGTGATGTAGCTGCTTAATAAAGCCTACTGCGCTACTGTATTTTAATACTGGTCATTATGGTGGTGCTTGGAGAGACACATTTTTCCTGAGGTGGTATTTGGTGAAAAAAGTTTGAGAACCACTGAGCTAACCCAATGTAATTGTATGTTGTTTGGCTGATTACAATCCACATGAAACACCGACAACTTCATTTTTGAAAAATACATGTAAACAGTTTATGCACACTTGATCAACATTTTGCCCTCCATCCTGTAGTTGCTAAAATTGTTGAATGCTACACAAAAAAAAAAAAGTTTTGACCATCTTGTCACTGTAAAGCATTGCAAATTAAGAATATTACATTAGGTGAAAATACACTTCTCTATGGCTAGTTCCTAGAACAGAGTTCTGTAACTACCTGTTGAAAAAAGCCCATCGAGATACAAAGATTTTTTTTTTTTGAAAAGCAACCTGTGGCTATACTCTGAGTACAATGAGAAATTTAAGCTGTGACATCAACATGTTCATGTGTTTTAAAATGATGAAGCTAGTGTAATTATGACCAACAGAATAATCTATTTTACAGGATAAATGACATCCATGCCAATTACAAAATCTTTATTCCTTGTCCACTGTTTTTCTCTCTACAGAGTGTGTGTCCTGGTCGGGTGTTCACCATGGCTCTAGTTCAGGCACTGCCTGTACCCACTGATCACCCAAAGCCCAGTACTGACGTCCAGCAGTGCTGCTCAGTGTCTCACTCCCCCACAGTAGATGTCACTGGCACCATGGGTTCTGTCAGCAGCCTCATCTCTGGACGTACCTACCAGGAACGCCACTGTCGAGCCGCCAGTGACTTTGGTGCCAGATATCGCAAACCCACACCAGCTACAAGCTGTTTTCGACAACAAGAGGGCACACTGCGCAGCTCCAGCTCACAGGAGCAGCTTCTGAACAGTCAGCCTCCTCTACCCGCTAAGAACAAGTCTTCTGCCCTCATCTCGGCTGGCAATGGCAACTATGGCTATTTGAGTGATGAGCCAGTGGGTGATTGGAATGATAATCACGTGAGCACATGCAGCCCATCCAGTGACACTGAAGAACCTTCTGATAACAGAGGCATGAATGGTAACATCGGTGGACCTCCGCCAAAACTCGTCCCAGTGTCAGGCAGGTTGGAAAAGGTAAGTCTTGGAGTTGATCAGTTGACATTTGAAAACAAAAATAATACAATAAATTGTAAATTAGTGACAATGTATTTAAAAAAAAATTAAGATATAAAGTGAACCAAAATGCAGTAACCAAGAATACAATCAGGCAGGGTTTGTAAAGTTATTTCTAGAAGTATACATGATTTTTTAATTGATATCATGCAGATATTTTTCAAAAGAGACTTACTGTAAAAAACTGTTTTAGTTAATTTAACAGTGTTTAAACCCTGGACATTTCTTAAAGCATTTTCTTTCTAATGTGACCCACTGTTTCGTTGTTGAGGTGTCATTTAATTGTTTTAGTATAAAGAATGGCGGCTGACAATTCACACATCTATTCAGCTTTTCCTTTCCAATGAAGAAGGAGAGCATTTAAATACTGCAAAACGTCAATATGCCATCACTCACCATACACATTTAATCAATGATACCTCATTACACTTACAACACTAAAAGATGGTGTTCTTGGAGGTTTAATGCATTTAATATTTTTAAGATACACATGTGAAATGGCATCTGAAAAAAAGCTTTGCCAAAAAACTAAGCACCAAAAAACAATGGCAAAAGCTTTGCCATTTTGTCTTTCTATATTTTTGATTAATAAATGCTTGGTGAGCATTAGAGAATTCAATTTTGTTGAACAGTTTTGGTATACGGTTAAGATTAACCATTTACTTTTGACGACAGAGTATGGAGAAAATACTGATCCGGCCCACTGCCTTTAAGCCTGTTTTGCCAAAGAACCGCAACTCTGTGCAGTACCTGTCTCCAAGATCAGGAGGCAGTCTGTCTGAAAGCCAGGGCAGTCTCAATCTCCTGCTTCCTGGCACTGGAGCAGGATCGGGCTGTCAGGAGAAGCGCAACTCATACAGTGGGGGACGCAATGCACGGAGTAGCCAGTCCTGCACCATGTCAGACTCAGGCCGCAACTCCCTCTCCAGCCTACCGACCTACAGCAGCACAGGGTACAGCCTGACACAGAGTGAGGTACCTAATGGGCACATGGAAACCACACGCTCTGGCGTTGGCCACGGACACTCTAATTCTGACAGTGGACGATCCTCATCCAGTAAGAGTACAGGGTCTTTAAGTGGGCGTGGCCAGCCCCTCTCGGACAGCGGTTCATGTGGCCGCTCCCCAGCTCCAGGAGAAGGATATGAAGGTGTCATTCGGGAACTTGAGGAGAAGCTGAGGGAAAGAGACTTGGAGCTGCAGCAACTCAGGGACAACCTGGATGAAAATGAGGCAGCCATATGTCAGGTAATGATCCTAGATTTCTACCAGTTTTTACAACAGTTTGACAGGAAATTATCATACACGATACAACTTAAATCATCTGTATTCTCAATGCAGGTGTATGAGGAGAAACAGAAGCGCTGTGAGCAAGAAATGGAGGATCTTCGGCAGAGCTGTGCATCAAAAATGAAGCAGGTGCAGCTGAAGGCACAACGTGCTCAGCAGGTTCTACAGTTGCAGGTGTTTCAACTGCAGCAGGAGAAAAAGAAATTACAGGAGGACTTCTCCCAACTGCTGCAGGAACGGGAGGCATTGGAAAAGAGATGTGCCTCCTTTGAGAGGGAGCAGACTCAATTTGGCCCTCGTCTAGAGGAGACAAAGTGGGAGGTGAGGCCTTTTTGCTGTGTGGACATATAAAAGACTATTACATTCAGCTGGTTTTAAAATGAATGTTTCTGTGTTGCAGGTGTGTCAGAAATCAGGGGAGATCTCTTTGCTAAAACAGCAGCTGAAGGATGTGCAGGCAGATCTTGGCCAGAAGGCCAGTGAAATTGTTGCTTTGAAGGCCCAGTTGAGAGAGGCTCGTTCTGAGCTTCAAGCTAGCCAGGCTCGCTCTCAGGAAGCCCACGCCACAGCTCGCACACGCACACTTGAACTGGAGGTTTGCGAAAATGAGTTGCAACGCCGTAAAAGTGAAGCTGAGCTCCTTCGGGAGAAGATGGGTCGTTTGGAAGAAGAGTCCCTTCGTCTTAAAGAAGCTATGGCTGTGCCCACACCCCAAACTCTTCCTTCTAAGGGCCAATCCATGAGCTTGCCACTCCCCCAAAGCCGTGGGGGGATTGGTCATGGGATAAGCCCTGCTTTCCGGGACAACAGCAGTGAAGAGCAACTTCTTGCATATGAGAGTGATGAAGCAAAGGCACAGCGCCAGAGCGTAGATGTGCTTCATGGTCTCCGTCAGCAGGTGGACCGCCTTCGGGCAGAGCTGATGTATGAGAGGAGGCGAAGCGAAGACCAGCTTGAGGGCTTTGAGGATGAACGCAGGGTGTGGCAGGAAGAAAAAGACAAGGTGATTCGTTACCAGAAGCAGCTGCAGCAGAACTACATCCAGATGTACCGCAGAAACCGCGACCTTGAGCGTGTGATGAGGGAACTTAGTCTGGAGCTGGAAAACAGGGACATGGAGGAGTTTGACATGCGTAGCAACGAGATCCATTTTGAAGAGATAACTGCCACTGAAATCTAACCCACATCTCCACTGTGCTTGTAAGAAGCACCAGTCTTCTTCACTGCAGTGTCATTTGGCATGCTTCTATATACTATTTCAAAAAGAATAATGTTCAAGCCGTTATTATTGTCATATCCACAGAGGCCAATAACACAGGGAATGTTTGTATTTAGACATCTTTATGATCACTTCCTGCCTCAGAAACCTGTGTGGGACCTCAGATGAATGTACAATTACTGTGTCCTGCAGTTAATTGGTGCCACTGGCGAAGGGAAGGATGTACTCAAAGATGGTGCGTTGTTCCTAGTTCCTTTTCCCACAAAAAATTCACGAAAGATACGTTTTAACCATTCTGAACGACAATAAGTTGCAATGAACAGCAAGATGTGACAGAGCAACCAAAGAAGTTTATAACATTGCATGCTAGAATGCATCTTTTGTGAACTACATGGAAACTGCTTGTCAAGCCTAACTGCTACAGTAAATTGGCTACTGTGGGCTGCAGACAATGAAAGGCTTATCTTTAATTAAATAGGACTAACAAGAGAATATATAATACTTTTAAGAGTTTCTATTGAATACTCCAATAATAATGTAACATTTTGTTTCTAGTTAAAAATTGATTGGCAGCCTTAATTACAATCTCTCCTTAGCTAAGCTAAATAACTTACACACAGAAAAGACTTGGCAAAAAAAAAAAAATGAAAAATACAATGACTAAAACCCCTTTTCCACCAAGGCAGTTCCAGTGCTGGTTCAGAGCCAGAGCCTAGATCCAAATCAGTTCTTTATCTTTTGCCACATATATGACCAGCTCTGAACCAAGACAATGGTACTTAATGCCGAGTTTAGACTGCACGGTTTTCAAAGTAGTCGTGTCACAATTGACTATCTGGCGTAGCGTTCTGTCGGTGCTGTGCTTACACTGCAAGATGGATCAATCAAACTTTTTGGCCCTTTATAAGAAAAAGTTTGGGCACCCCTGCTCCAATGGAAAAGCAAATCAGTACTTAGAAGGCTCATCAGACGAACCAGCTTCGAACCAACAATAGCACTGACTCTGAGGCCCAATCCCAATTCTACCCCTTAGCCCTTCCCCTTAACCAATTTTCTTTAGCTTGAAGGCATAGGGCTTCAAGGGGAAGGGGAAAATAGCCCTTTAAATGTAGATTTTTTAGGACCACACTCAAAACCAAGGGGTAAGAAAATTTCCCAGAATACACCAGCCACAACAGGCGCATAGCTGCACCTGCAGTAAGGGGATCGACAAATTAGTATTTTTTGTCATTATTACGAATTTTTACAACAAACAAGCATATGTTTTAATATATTCATAACCGCGTATGTGTTTTGCTGTCATGCTTTAAAAAAAAACGCTAAAATAAAACCTGCTAAATTTGGCTATCTATAATGCATAATAATATTTCCTATACAGCAGTCCCACAACATTCTGACACTCGACACTCGAATACCTTGTCAGTAATGTCTAGTGGCTTGGAATGATCTTTTTACAGTGTCTGCTATAATGTTAATGTTGTTTTTTATGGTGAATATATGGTATATGGAAAATATGGTGAATGATGAATATGGCCCCTGTGTAAATGCGCAGTACAGTTATGATTTTATTGCCACATTAGATCGTTATGATAACATAATATATGCCTTCAGGGATTTCTTGAAGATAAATACCAAAAAAAGAACACAACTGGAATAACTACAGCAGCTGCAATCGCCTGATCTCATATAAAGCAAGTGATTGCAATGACGTGTGCAGGTGCATTTCTTAGGAGTTCATTTTGAAGCCCTTCCCCTTCACACTCGGTTTTAAGGGACAAGGGGAAGGGGTACAAAAATATAATTGGGATTGGGCCTAAACTAAACCTAAACTGGTTTCTGATGGTGGAAAATGGATATATGAGGCCTAAAAACTGATGGAAAGAATTACAGCACGCAGGCCAAAGGTTTCGTAGAGTTCCTCATACCTTGTAATGAGCACACTACTCACTTCGCCCATCAAACCAGCATTAACACTGATGGGAAGAATTTGTATGTTCAGTTTTGTTGCATTCATTTGTGCTGTTGTCACTTTGCTGGTGTTGAGTCCTCAGTAACATTGTTTCATTTCTTCTCAGCCGTTTACGGCTCTATGCAGCGAGAACTGTTTCCTCTCATCTCACAGCCCTGCTGCTTATACTACATTTGATACTAATCATTGATGTAGAAGTGTTATTTTTTTTAATTAGATGATATATTAGCAGATGTAACTAGCAAATATAGAGGCAATACATATATATTTTTTTTCTTTTTGAGTATTGCCATGCACACTGTACAGAGTGAACAGCATGTGTGCATGACACCGTAGCGTTTCTGTGGCCAGACAGTCTGGCATTGAGTTGTGTCACAAAGGTCAACTAGTTAGATTTTCCAACCGATTCTGCTAAGTAAATGACATAGTTGATGAATGCATAGATATTATTTTGCATACAATCTGAGAATTACTAATCAAACCTTTGTGCTCACTTTGTTTAAGGGATATATATACACTATATAAACTATGTTTTTACAAGAACAGATTCTTTAAAGCAAAATATAAATAAATGAAGATATGAATATATGATGTATATTTTTTATATGTAGCACCTCAAGTTTTTTTGTGGTAACACAAGTAAGTTGGTGGGTTCAACAAATATCAGTTTGTCCAGAAAGATAATTTTCCATTAGCACTTCATACAGTATTTCAAACAGTAGCTGGCATTTGCATATTGTCACGGGGCGTTCTTTGTTAGCAATAATGCATAATTACATAATCAGTTTTGAGTGTGCTGTGGAAAAAGAGGCAAAACCACTTGCCTGATCACTTTTAGGCCATGTTTACACCTGGTATATGCACTTTCACAAGCAACTAAAGAAGATCTTATTTACATCCTCATGTACAAAGACTTGCGTTGAATTATTACAAAAACATTGCATACGGACAAAGCTGTAAATGTGGGTACACAGTAAAAAAACAGATGTTTGAAACACTGCGTACATGGAATCTCATGCATATTCTCTTTGTACATCTGATCTAATGGGAAATAAGCGCAAAACCCCTTCTTTCCTCCTCCTCCCCTGTATAAATATGATAATGACTCCACAAAACCAAAAGAAAAAGCAGTGGCAAAAGCAAGCAAGAAGAGAAATGTCACAGAATGTGAATTGAAGGTGGTCCTTTTAGAGATAGACCGGAGAAAAAACTGTTGTTTGCAAGTTTGTCCTCCGGAATTAATAGCAAAAGAAAAAATAGAGTGCAAGAGTTTAGCTGACGCGGTTAACGTAGTGGGGTCTGAACATCGCACTGTGAACAAATTAAAAAAGACATGGTCAGATCTAAAGGTGCAGGTTAGGAGGAGAACAGCAGCGCACCGTCAAAGTGTGAATCGAACAGGCAGGGGAATCCCTGTCTGTGTGAGACACAGATGAATTAGAGGAATAATTTTTAGGGCGGTATAGCAACACCCCTCCGCTCTTATCACGGCAGTGCCACCAGCATTTCAGCTGCCCAATTGCCCGCTCTACAACTGATTGAGTGAGAGAATGGGCATCATTGTATCTGCGCTCTTGGTTAGTTTGTGGGTTGTTAAGGGGGGGTTAACAGTCACGTCTTTAATGGATAACCACGGTCTCCTGATATGCAGTTAAATAATTACGCTCAATAGTATTAAAAAAACTTAGCTAGAAGCCACCCATTGCGCACCCTGCCACCTTGGAGCCTCCTCGCTGTCTCTCTTTCCAAATCTGGACCCAACTCAGCACAGAACTCCAAGAGGATAGCTCTTGGAAATCTGAAACAGCTAATAAGCCAGTCATCATCGTGGGCCAAAAAATTAAACACAAAATTGTTTGCTGGGTAGTTCTTTTTTGTTCAACTTTAAACCAAACTTGACATCAGACAGCCGTTTTAAACCCTGTCTGGCTTCATGCTCAAACAATGTCCTCTAATGTTTAAGAATTAGGTCAGAGAGTAGGTGGTCTTTTATGCTTGCTTAAACACATTCAAGCAAATGAGTGCTTACACTAGGTAATCTGACTGAATGCGTTTGATGGCCTTTGAAAAAGCCGAAAATGGACAAGCTCAAAACACTTCAGCCCCTATTTAGATTTGTTTTTATCATTGTCGGCTTGTGATCAGATAATGCATCTTAATACCAGGTGTAAACAAGGCTTTGTAATCAGGGAAGACCAAATCTGACGATAAAACATCAAGAACTTTGACTTCAAAAGTAGCTGTTTCAGCCAAAGATAATCTGTTGTGCATTTTGCAGATTCTCTTCAGCAGCCTATAGTCAATACATGTTCACATTCTTTACTCAGTGCTTCCTTTTATATAAAGCAATATAATACTACAGTAAAACAAACACTATTTATGTAATGATCATTTTTGTATTCCTTTCATCAAATGCCAAATGATTCCTTTCAGTAGCTGTCAGAATGGCTCACTATGATTGGTCTTGATTAATTCTGACCATTTCTAACCACCTGAGGAATTGTCTCACTGTGTTTATTTTTCATCCTGCTCAGATTATTATCTCTTTCATTGTCAGAATCATCTCTGTACACATATATGTCATGAGTGTACAAAAAGAGCTTTCTTACCCTTGGATAATGTCCTGAGCATCCCTCCTTGACATGTCAAACATAACCCTGATGGGAACACACGTGTAAATAGTTGTCATATTGTAATATTATTGACATATTCTAAACATTTGTTTTTACACATGAAAAATATCTATTTTGAAGGTGTAACCACTGTGAATAGACCAAAGCGAATTAACTTTTAACCTTTTTGCCCTCATGTATGTGCTTGTGTTGTTTCCTCTGTCAGTCTGTAGTGTTTGTAGTCATGTTTGTATATTTCTCTGTTGTATATTTCTTGTAAAAATGTGTTTTTAATTAAAGTCACTTCATGCAAAGTCTGATGGGTTTTTTGTAATGTTTTAAGCCAACAATTTTACAATAAGAAAAAATATAATAAGGGA